GGAGCCCGATGTGGGGCTCGATCCCAGGACCCTGGGATCATGACCTGAGCCAAAGGCAGACGCTTAACGACTGAGCCACCCAGGCACCCCTTTCCTAGTTTTTTCTAAAGACAAGGAGTGGTAGCTGAAGTTTAGCCTTTACTCCCTCTCCCTTCCTTAAATCTTGGCCTCTTCTAGTAGATAATCAAGGCCATGTCCTCCCCTCTCACCAGACTTTATCAGCTCCACTGAGCTCTAACTATGTATAGGACTGTGGAATGTCTACATCTGTAATTGCTTGTATCTTTAGGTTCCTGAAATGCCAAATGTACTTCTTCCAACCACCCAAGAAACCAAGCTTCTGAAAATGACTTTGATTTCATCTTTGTAGAGCATGAATACTACTGCAGAAATAAAAATGCCCTTTGAACACATTAAGCCCACATAAGACCTTACTTCCAACATGAGATAGGAAGAAGCCAAGGAGGGATTGGCCAATAAGTCTTTGACCCAAAGAAATCTCTGTTAATGGGGCCACGCCTTCTTTTCCATGTATTGTTCCCGCAAGGGGATCATACTACAAAATAGAGGGCAAAACTTACTCTGATACCATTCCTTCTTACCCACTACAATCCCAGGTAGACCCACCCATCTGTTACTGGAAAGATCAGCTCTTTCATATGCTCATTGAGCATTTAGGATGTGTCAGGCATCATGTAGGTCTAAGATGTACAAGTAAAGAAGATACAGTACCTGTCAGCAAAAAGTTCACGGCCTAGTGAGGGATACCAGTGAATAGGTAACTCTGAAAGTGTATGTTAGAGGAATCTACTCTGGAAGGACATTCATACAACAAACATCCATACACACAGTTCAAACAAACAGTTTTTGTTATTCAATCCTCAATAAAAAGCTGTACTAATAAAATTAATATCTACCATTTATTGAGAACGTATATGCCAGGCACTGTACATATATTATATTTAGGCAAATCCTCACAACAACCCTGTGAGGTAGGCATTATTATTATACCAATTTTGCAAATCAGGAAACTGAGGCACAGAGAGGCATCATACAGTAGGTTGTATAGATACTGTTATCCCATTTTAGAGTGGGGGAAACCGAAGCACAGAGAGGTGAAGTGACTTGCTTAAGATCACACAGGGAGGCAGTGTCAGAGGTGGAATTAGAAACCAAGATTACTGCTTCTAAGTCCAGGGTACCTTCTGTGGCACCTATTTAGACTAATGGAGGAACTAAAGCAAATGTGGCCAATTCTGTGTAAAAGCATCCAGGCCATGGGGTGGGTGAACTGGGGCTGGGGTGTGTGTCTGGCATTTGAACATTTTGGGGAGACTTCTGCTGTGTCTAGATCTTGATACTGCCTTACTAGATCTACATATACAGGACTAAAGTAATTTATAAGAAGTCATTTCTAAAATACGAGCTATCACTTTTTGTAACTTTTATTTATTTTTATCATTGATGCTAGCACAATTCTATTTCCTGCACGTAAAAATAATCATCACAAATACAATAAAAATGCATTTAAAATGTAAAAAACAGTTTATAAGACTGCAGTGGCAGTGCCTGGCACATAGTAAGTGCTCAATAAATATTAGTCAAATGAATGAATGAAAGCATGATATTCAACAAGTAGAGAACAACAAAGCTGTGATGAGCTGAAGCTGCCAGACATTTGGTTGGGCTCACTCATTAGCCAAGTGATTGGCTCCCACATAGCTTCCTGGTAGCATATGTGATTCTAATTTGCATCTCAGGAAAATGTCAAATGACACTAGCTCATAGGCCTTGCAAGACCTAGGACTTGACTAAGGAAAGGAAAATCAGAAACCCTGGTTCATCCAGCCATGATCCCAGGGACAACGATCATCAGACCCCAGCAGCCATAGCCACACCCACCTGCCACAATCAGCTTCAGGGGGTTGCTGGGCTCTGACCACAGAGTGGGGAGCATCTGGATATGAGTGCGGCAGATGTAAACCCCTTTGCTCTCAGGTGTCATGTTGGCAATGGAGAATATGGCCACTGTCCCAGTTGGGATTTGGTAATCCATGGGCTCTGCATATCCCTCTTTGAACAGCATGAATACCAAATCCTGCAGCCAGCCATGGCAGAGAATGTTAACATTACATCCAGGAAGAAGGGAGGTCTCAGCCTGGATCCAGAAGATGGGCTTGGGCAGCTGGCCTGGAAGGAGAGAATGAGCTGGAATTCAGGTAGAGCAAGGATAGCGCTGCTCAGTGAGCAGGAGAGGAGAGCGCTACTTAAATGAGCCTTCCCTCATTCATGATCCTTATTTACCACCCTTCCTTCCCCCTATCTGGGGTCTCCCCTATGTTGAGAGCTTGCTCTCTAGATTTGTTCTAGAGACTGCATCCTCATCTGCATTGCCTATAGAGAGTAGGGACTTACTAACTGTGGAATGTCTGCATGTATGCATTCATGCATTTGAGGTAAATGAATTAACTAATTAAACAAATCTTGCTCTGGGAAGGCAAGCTTGAATACCGGGAGCTGGAGTTTATTCTTGATTATCTATTGCTGTCTTCTTACCTGGTGCCTCCAACTCTAAAACTTTACTAGGTTCTGACCAGCCTGTCTCCTTCCAGTAGCAGCACCTGTAAAGACCTGCATTGGACTTAGTAAGGGCACCTATAGGGAATGAAACTTGGAAGGTCTTGGAGGAAGGGCGGATCCAAGTCATCTGTGTCTTATCCTTCAGCAGCAGAAACTTGCTTGAAATCCGAGAGGGGCTTTTGCACCAAAGTGTGATGTTCTCCCAAGGGGCCTGGGGGTAGTTGGTCTCTATCCACAGCTCCGGTTGAGATTGCACCACTGTTATTCCCAAAGATCACAAAGATATGAGTAGTCCAACCCTCTCCCTCCCATAACGTGCCCCACAATGTCCCTTAAAACTAGCCCTGACCCAAATTCTTCTTTTTGTCTTCCCTTGGGGACAAGAGTGTCTCTGCTCATGTGGGGGATGGGATAGGGCCCCTAGGATATTTGTTCGAGGGATTCAAGTGAGTTGGGGAATACAGTGCAAGTCTGGCTTCCATTCCACCTGAAGTAAAGCTTTTTATTATTCTGTGGGAAACCAAGTCATGAAGTGAGGTGTTCTGGTCCCCAACCAGCTCAATCTGGGAACCTTTGTGGTCTCAAGGTAGTTATATCCAGTGCCATGGAGGCAGCTTATGTCTTGGAACCTCCAGGAAGGAAGGTACCTGAGGTGGCAGGACTCACTTACCTATTGATGTCATACCCAGACTTAGCCCTGAAAAGAGAGATAATGGTAAAGAAGGGCCCTCACATTGACCCCACCAACCCTCAATCCTCAACTCTCTTCTTTCTCCCTCCCCAAGGTGCCCGACCATAGGAGTACTTGTGACAGGGTCACCTGCCCCTCACCCCTTCCTTGTACTCACGAATGCAAAAGAGCAAGACAGTGAATGTCCACAGCATGGTGGCCCGCTCTCCTGGCCTGTCCAGGGTCATGGGGCCTCTGGTGCTCAATGTGTGCTTCAAGTCTGGAAGGGCTTTGCCCCTCAGCAGGTGGTGAGATCTAAAAGCAGAAGTGTTTTTACTCAGGGGACTCTTCCTGCTCCTCAAAGTTTAGTTTGGATCACTAAACTGCACCTGACAACCTTACCTTCCACTCCTTCAGAGGCATGAAAGGTACTACAAGGTCACCTGCCCCTTTTCTCCACCCATTTCTCCTTGCACTTGAGGTCTTTGCTGGCATCTAAGATGTCAGATTTGTTGAAATGTCTGTACATCCCTGGAATCTCAGAGGCTTAGAGGGCAACCTAATCCAGGCCAGAGGGGAGCCCTTGGGAGGAGAGAGATGGGAAGTGTAGAGAGTCATCTTTTTAAATCTCTCTCTCTCTCTCTCTCTCTCTCTCTCTCTCTCTATATATATATATATATATAGTCTGAGTCCTCCAACAACCCAGAAAAGGAGGCTTTCCTGCCATCCCCATTTTGCTGACAAGGAAACTGAGGCTTAGTGGGGATATATTTAATTTGCCCAAAGTCAAAAGATTAAATATCAGATATTTATATAATAACTCCAATGCCTATTCTCTAAAACCAGTATTAAACTCCCCCTTTCTTACCTTTCCTCACACCTCCTTCCCCTTCTGTATATTGCCTCAGATGCAATATTACTCTCATTATTGTCTCTTACCTCCCAAAGCTCAAAACCCCCATCTCAAATAGGTGTTGGAGAATCAAGCTACTTGAGCTAATTAATATAAGGTGTAAATGATGTATTGGCTGCCCGTAATTTATAAGCATTTTTGCTCATTGCTCCTAAGGAAATATGGTAAAGATATTTGAATTCAGGGAGGCCTTTTCATTTTCCAAAAAATCACTACCACCACATGTATATAAGATAGATCCTTTCTGCTTTCCTGCCTCTTCTCCACCATCATACCCAAAGTATCCTTTTGCCAAGGGAAGGTGTAACCCCACCACACAAACTCAAGCTAACTCTCCTCCACCAACTCTCTATTCAGAGTCTGAGGTCCTGGCTGTTTCATCCTATCTCAGTAGAGTGGGGGTAAATGCAGCTCCCAGAACAGAAAAGGGCTGATTTCACTTCCCAGAAGGGATCGCAACACTGCAGCCTCGAATTTGCTCCAATGCTAACACTGGGTGGGATGGTGGAGCAGGAAAACAAGAAGATTCATTTTCAAACATCTGGGCTGTGGGGAACAGGTGGACCATCAGAGATCCAAGGAGACAGTTTCCTTTTGCATTTCTCACTTTGCACTGAAGGATGCTCAAATTACCCTCTCTGAACTTTTCTTATCTGTAAAGTTGAGGAGTAATACCTATCTAGCATTGTTGTTGTGTTGGATCAGAGATAATAGCTGTACAGGACACATGGTAAACATTTCATTACAAGGTGGCTATCTTTCTTCTTCCCCAAGGGGGTATTAACCTGGTGTAGGACCCTAAAGATGCTCTTTCATCTCAACTCCCACAGCCCCTTGTCCCCCACTCCTTTCAGGGCCAGGCCTAGGCCCAGGCTTGAGTGCCACCCTGTTGCTTGGTTCCCCCAAGGCTTTGGGCCAGGATTTATTGGGGAAGCCAGGTTCTACTGCCAAGGGAAAGGTTCAACCTGGGACTCTGCCCAGAAATGCCATCTGAGATTCCAGGCTTGCCACTTAGACCCCTAAACCAGGGTTTTGCCTCCTGGGGACTTGAGTGGAATGAGGGAAGGGGGGCTTCTCAGCATGGCTAACCCCTCCCCAATCACTAAGGAAACTGTACCATTTACATCCAGCCCAAAAGATGAACCTTATGCCCAGGGAATGTGGGAAACAGCCGCAAGATTCAGGTTAGTTGGCCACGCCCATTTTTGGCCTTTCACACCCCCACCCCCACCCCCAACTTCCACAGTCTAGTCCTTTTACCCTCCCCTTCTACTCCAACCCAAGCACTATCCCCACCCTTAGGCAGCGCCGCAGTGCTTTTGAGGGTGACATACCCGAAATGTCTAATGGCTCGCCCCCTGCATAGCTTTGAGGGCTCCAGGAATCAAAGAGGTTGGGCTCGGCGGGGTGGCGGGTACATGCTTCGCTGAGGGTTTGGAGGGAAGACTGAGAAGGAAAAGGGAAGATATTTACAGTGCCCAGAGATTCTCAGCGAGGCAATGCTGGGATCCGTGGAGGGACGGAGAAAGGGAGGGATAGACTGGGGAGCAGTTTGATTTGCGGCAATTAGTTACAGCAGGGAGACTATTTCGGGGTTTTTTTAGGATCTGTTGGCCAGATTAATCTTCAGCCACTGGGCTATGCGCTCATTTGCAGGTACTTACGGTAGTTGAAGGCCCGCTCCGCTGTTGGAGATTCTCCAGTGAGCTCCTCCAGATGCAGCAAACTGCCGGGCCTGAGAAGAGCTGTCTAAGGACAGCCTCTCGGGCTCCGCGCCCCGCCTCCCTCTCTCCCCCGCCTGCTTGCCGGTCCGCTCCAACCTCCTCCCGTCCCTTCACCAGGCTCTGGGAGCCCACCTACACCAACTCGGCCTGACACCTGCAGTCCTCTGACGACCGGGATTTCTACGCCCCTCCCAGCTCCCCGCCTCTCCCGGCTCCCTGCAGAGGTTGCTGGAGCCAAATTCAGGCCCCTGCCCCCTCTCCTGTCGCTCCGAGTTTCACTGGGTCACTGTATCCTGGAGGGGAGAGGGCCAGCTCTTCAGACTGCCAAAGCTGTAGATCCTTCCTCTCCAGCTCCCCAATGCCTTTAAAGGGATCTCAGATCTTCCTCTGCCCATTTAATGCCCCACTTATGCATAAACATCGCCATCATGGTTTAAATGCCTCTGGGCCCTGGGCAGCTATTAGTTCTAATCCTCCTAGCAACCCTACAAGATGTTTTACTTCCCTCAGTTTTACAGATGAGGAAACTGAATCCCAGAGAGGGTTAAGTGACTTGGACAGCCTCCAGAGTCCAGCTTGGGATAAAAGCCCAGGCTTTAGAGACATACCAATCTGGATGTCAGTCCAGGTTCCACTATTCAATAGCCGAGTGACCTGAAGTGAGTTAAACTGTCTGAGTCCCAGTTTCCCTATCTGTAAAAGAAAACAGCAGAAGAGGTTGCGCGGGGCTTTGTTGGAATCATGCAAGTCAAACTTCTAGCACAGTACGCCTGGTACCTGGTAGGTGCTCAATAAATGGGAGCTGCTGCCGCCACTACTGTTATTAATCTGTAAAGTGTTCCCCAGATGCCCTAGAGTAACATGCTTTCAATGATGTAGACAACCTTCCACAAATGTAGTTGATCACGAAAGACTTTTTGAAGTGAGAAATGTATGGATAAGATACTAACCAAAGCTCCTGACATATGTCGTATGATGGGATTAAAATGCAGCATCCAATAAACTGTCAGATCAGTTGATCGTTGTAAGAAAGAGCCAAATTAATCATAAAAGATTACAAATTATCTAAAAAAATACTGCAATTTAAGAGCAAACCACATAAAAATAAAGCAACAGCTCTTTTTAACAGGCAAAGTGAGTATCATCTCTTTGTGCATCAGGTGATGTAAGTTGTGGCTTCCTGGCATCCTTTGTTCTTACACATCATTATAAACTGCAGATTATCCCCCAAGGAATAGCATAGCCATATGAATATAGATATATGGGGTTTTTTGGGAGGGCAGGTTATTTAAACTTTCCAAGACTCAGTTTTTTATTTGTAAAATGAGGATAATAATTGTACTTACTATCACACAGAGTTTTGGGTCAGATTGAATAACAGTCTCCCTGTAAACTACTCCAGAGTGCCTGGGCCACAGCAAGCCTCCATTAATTTCAATGAATGTTTGTTGAGTATTTTCTTTGTGCCAGGCATTGTCATACATGTTGATGATTTAGAAAGAATGGCAGTTTCTGCTCTTTGATTTCTTGTTATTATTCTTTAGTTTCTGCTCTTAAGGAGTTTGTAGTCTAAGGATAAACAGTGATGGAAAACACGTAAGAGATAGCCAGAGGAGGGGGGTGCCATGAGAGTCAGAGTACTGCAATAGGAAAGAGCAGCAAGGCCTGGAGGCCTGCAAGCAGTTTGCTGTGACTGTGTGCCTAAACTAGGACAGCAGAGCCAGTGAAGGAGGGGAGAGTAAAAGTTCCCGAAACAACGGAAAGGTAAAATTGGCTCAACATGATGATCGGTTGGAACACGGTAGTGATAGTTACTATCTGTCAAGATGGAGATACCCGTGCCAGTTTTCAAAACATGTATATAGAAATCACTATGATAGTACCAGGCACTAAATATTTTATAAATCTTGACTCATCTTCTCCCCATAACAACACTATGGGATAGCTATCATTATCAGCCCCACTTTACAGATGGAGAAACTGAAACACAGAGCCAATTGAACAAATTGCCCAAGGCCAACACAGCCAGCAAGTGGCAGAGCTAGGATTCACATCCAGCCAGTCTGTATTTACAGTCCCATGTTCTTTTTATTTGTCTTGGTTTTAACATATCTATAAATGGGTTTTATATAGAAAGGATTTCTAAGTCTTTTTATGCAAAATAACTGAACCTCTTAGCTCTTTCATTCTTTCTTTTTAATGAAGTATAATTGACATACAACATTATATTAGTTTCAGGGGTACAACATAATGATTCAATGTTTGTATATATTTGTGAACTGCAATCCCATGTTATTTTTAAAAAAATTTTATTTATCTATTTATTTATTTGAGAGAGAGAGCACAAGCGGTGGGGGGAGGGCATGAGGGAGAGGGAGAAGCAGACTCCCCACTGAGCAGGGAGAAGGGAGCCCAACAGAAGACAACGCTCCATTCCAGGACCCTCAACCGAATGAGCCACCCAGGAGCCCTGCAATCCCATGTTCCTAATCACTACCCTAGGCTACCTCTACACTGGATGCTTGGAATGATAAAACTAAAAATAATTAATTAATTAAAAAATTTAAAAACCAGATTTTACTTAGTAAAATAGAAAAGCACTGTTAATAATGTAGGAAAAAAGGCAATGATAGTGTCCCCCTGCTCTCTGCAAGTCCTTGGGCTGAAGCTTGTGCTTTGGACCAGCAACCTGAATCTAGAGCCCAGATTCCCCACTAAAATTGTCTGTGGAAGCTTGCAAAAGGTCCTTGGACTCTGTAGGTAAGAACACGATTCACTCTCACCTTTTGCTCTGGGACACTATGAAATACTGAAGGGACTTATTATTCAGGTTTCATAGAAGCGAACTTTTTCAAACTACAGCTGGCAATTGAGATAGAAGAAGCTTCATCTCTAGGCTCCCTCTGTGGGTCTTGAATCTTGCAGCTTGCCTGCAGAAAGAGAAAGAGTCTCTGGACAACCTTTCTAGAGAAAACCTGAGTGGCCCAATATTATAAAGCTGGTGATAGGGGCCAAGAGAGTCTAGGGTTGAGACTTAGCTAGGATGGACTTCTTGACTTTGGCTCTGCTGACCTTCCCCCATCAAGAATCCATTGGGCCGGTGGTTCTGTGACTCTGAATCTTTCACACACACACACACACACACACACACACACACCAAGAAATCTGGGTTTGTGTCCTGGTTGATTAGAGTCGGCTGGTACTAAACAATTCTCCTCTTTCAGGGAATGTTTTAGGAATGATCAGTCTCATTCCTAATGGTCAGGGTCCCCCTGACTCTCCATCCCCTTAAACTGGCTGAATGGACAGGAAAGGGCTTGTATGGGACCTCCCAGCCTCACCGTCTTGGGGCGGGTGTGATACCAGAAAATATTCCCGAGCCATACCCCTTCTCACTTTCACATCTTGAACATGGGGGCTGGAATAGAGTTTCTCCTGCCAAAACTTCAGAATCACCTCTTATGGATTATGAGACAACTGTTATACACAATGTTTTATTGAGTACATACTATATACATTGAAGTAAGTTGTGTGGTTGAGTGTAGAGGCGGGACTAATGTGATTTGTAAGAAAGAGTTTTCTAAGCTCCAAAAACTCTCAGCTTAGAAGAAAAGAGCAACTCTCTTACAAAAGCTGTAGTGGGAACCAGAGGAGTGCTAGAAAAGCTTCAAGAAGGCGGAGCTCGAAGGAGGAGAGGCATTAAGGGCCAGGTACTGTGCACAGGGTGGTCTGGGGGGTCTTTCTCCATAATTGAGTCCAGTGTAGGATGAGGAAATCTTTTTAAAGCTAAATCTGACTTATAGTAGTCCAGGCAGGAGAAGCACAGGGCAAAGCTGAACTCTTCCCAGTGATGTGCTGGAGCTGGCTAGCCTTGGCTCAGGAGAGTGAATGTGTACACCTTATCCCAGCCCAGCATTCAGTAATATCATGCTGGCAGCTTAAAATTGGCCATGGCCAGAGAATTTATACCACTGAATAAGCAAATGCTACAAATCAGTTTTTTTTTTTTTCCCTCCAGAGAGCTCTTTGTTAAACATTTACTAGCAAACCATTTTCTTTCAGTTTTATGTTTTAGGACAGTGATTCTCACTGGCAAACAGGAACTACCAAGAATCCTGACAATTTTCTCACACCCTCAAGAGAGCAATGAGCATTGTGGCCCCCTCCTCCCACCCCCCACTTCACTGCTGTGGCAAACCACCTAAGGACTGTGTCAGATCTCTAGAGTTTTTGGTACATTTGGAAGGTCGCTAATATTTTAGCACCCCTTCCCACTCCCTGGTAACCCTCAGCCATTATCCTCTTTTGCAAGGGAGAGGGTATGTGGAGTAGATAAGGAATTAAGGGGGAAACTACACAAGTGGTGGTCTGGGACAGTGGGGAGACCCAAGCAGACAGGTTAGGTTCCAATAGCAAGACCTGGTTGGGGTTTGAGCTCTGGAGGTGGGAAGCACCTCCTTTTGGACATGGAAATGGAAGCTGGGGCCTGCTCATGCAGCTTGGGTTTCAACTTATCCTTTGTCAAGCATTTCAATTACTAAGGGCATGGTTTGGGACACTAAGTCACTTGCAGAAGCTATAACTGAGAGTATTTTCAGGACCTTGAAGGAAGATTCCTAGAATAAATCAAATATAAGTGATGAACCAGAACTGAAACATTTAATCAGAACACACATTGTGAGCCAGGAGGCATCGTAAGCTGTAAGGCAGAGAGGCCAGCACGATCAGGCTCCGGGTACCTGTCACAAAGCAAACCAACAGTGTGATTACCCAATTGAATTTAACTTAAGGTTAACGGGTGGACACAGAAAATGAGGTTTTGTTGTGTTCTGATCTAGCAGGGCCACAAGGTTCTGTTTGGCCCACGTAACATTCACCAAAAAGGTAAACTACTGGCCCACTGTTCCCTACCATAATCCTCCTAGTGGCACAGGTGCCTTTCATTTATATGAGGAACAGCGAGAAGATGCATGTGAGCTTATATGTTGTGTGCATCTGGGTACATGGGAGCAGGGCTTCAGGGATAGATGGGTAAAACAAAGGCAGGCTCTGAGGGTGGGCTGCAAAGTATTTCAGTGTCCCCTTTTCCAGTGTTGAATGAAGTTGATAGCCCCAGAAGGAAAGTGGTGGTCTCAGCCCCACTGGCTGGTGCGGGCAGGCAGAGTGGCTCCTATGAGCAGTTTAGGTCTGACACAGGCAGGATGCTTCAAAGTGCCAGTGCCAGGAAAGCTTTTTTTTCTGCTTCCGAGCCTAGCTTGCCTCCAAGTATGTCCAAATTGTAGGCATTTTCATGGGTCGGGGAGGAGGAGGAAGAGGGGAGGGAATGCTGTTTGGGAACTTTTAATCACTTGTCCAAAGGAAAGTGTAGAAGTCAACAACTGGGTTCTTTTATTCCCATTTATTGTACGAGTAACCAATTATATAATTAAAGTT